TTAAAGAAGCCCAAGGCAAGTCGGGTGACAAGCCGTTTCCTTTGCCTATAAAATATATTCGCGACGCCAGTGATCGTCAACCTTTATCCGATGAGGCCTTCACCACTTTGCTGCAAAAGGCAAATAAACAAATTGTAGTCAGTTTTTAAATATTACAGTCTTCAACGAGTGGAACGGCTTATCATGCTTTTTATTTTCTTTATGTCTCTCATTAATAAGTCTGCTTTTACCTTCTGGTTTGTCCTATGTTCTCTAAAACTACCGTTAAAATACTACCAGTAGTGCCTATCCTGAATGCCTACAAACTGATAGAATGTTGCCAACCTTATAAGTAGAACTTTTACCTTCAACTCACAAGTGGAAAGACTTTGCCACTAGTTTTATCGCACTACCGGTATCCTGGTACAGGTATATAATACTATGTCAGTTTACATCTAAAATGGAACGTTTTATTTCAAATACTTGTGTATTGTTACAGGAGCCCAAAACAGACGAACAGCTGTAGGCTTGGCCATGGAACTGTTCGAACAACACCAGGGAACGCACATATTACAAGTAAGTTAAACATCGATTAATCTGTTTTTGATATCTGTGTCCTCACAACGTGTATCTATGCCCATTTCTGGATCGTCAACCTCCATCTTCAATATTGTTTGTTAAGTCCTCCCTTACTCTATAAGTAAGGTGGAAAAACAGTTTCATACTGTCCTACAGTGTTTTTACAAAATCGATATATATATTTTTCTACTGAACAGTTAACTTATTTCCTTATCAGCTACAAAATAGAGCGGTATATCGCTAGCTTATTATGTAATATGTTTAGTGTCAGTCTTTGTGTAGCAGTAGTAAATTAACATTCAGTCAGATAGAGTTGTAGCTAAGTAGTTACGCATGCAGTACTTACATTATTTTCTTATTATGACTAAATTATTAGCTAACCCAAGAATTGAAGTAGCCCGATTACCAAATATAGACTGTATAAAACTTTAACACCGTAAATGTATCTAATAAATAACGTTCACGAATATGACGCGTAAATGAACCGACCCCCTTCGTCTCTTTAGATGTAAGAGAACATTTAGGTGAGCATGATGATGTAAATGGCAAAAAATACTACAAAATATTGAAGAAACACCACTCTTCGTTCATATTTAAAGCCAATCTTTATTTAAACACAAATTAATTTCAATTTCTGAATCAAGAAGTACAAGATTTTGTAATCGGACATGTTGTAGCAATTCCTTCATGTCTGTTCTTATTTTTTTTAAGAAAACGTACAACGAGTCCCGCAAAACAGTTGGTTTTTAAGAAAAAAAACGTGAGCAAAGGTATCACGTACTAAGCCATTTTTCAGTGCAGAATAGAAACCACAACACCCACAATATTATAATGATAGAGAATCGATTGCAAAATGATAATTTACGTGATCGAATAAGTTGAATCGAGTTTTTAGAGTTCTGTGGATTAAGTATTGTAAAACGTTAATGGCAAATAAGGCTTCCTTATTTATTACTCGTAACAGAACTATTTTTAGTAAGGAATACAAACCTCAGAGTATTCCTTTTTGAAAAGAAGCACCTCGGATATTAAATAAGGACCATTGTAACATAACTACCACTGCTGTTGGTGTAAATCAATAATCATCACCATCATCATCAGCCAGTAATAGCATCAGTATCAGTCAGCCAGTATCAGCAGTAATAGTCCACTGCTAGAAAATGGCTTCTCCTTAGAAAGGATGTTTTGGCCTACTATCCTACGCTGACCAGTCGGGTTGGTATAGAGCTTATTTCATGTTTTCCTTCTCTTTGCAAATATATATATCTATAAAATATTACTGAAATTTTATGGGCGGCGGCAGTCACTTACAATAAGGAGGAGAGGAAAGAGGAGGAGGAGGAGACGCATCCGCGGAAAGGGACAAATCTTAAAAAAAAATATCACTATTAATTTAATGAGACTCCTTAATTCCTTTGTATGAGCATCAACAAAAAAAAATAGAGCCTTGATTCAAACCGAATTTTTCCAATTTCTTGCAAAAGACGGTAGAGTAAATATCAGTAACTTAAATGTAGATCTAAAGATTTGCTTTTCGAAATTTTCGTCAAATGTTCAAGCGGCAAAAACTAACAAATTTAAACAAAAATGTACGGAACGTCAATCACGTCAGGTGACTCTTTCAAACTTGACCGTGTTTTTTTTTCTTAACCCTCTCGCTGGCCCACAAAATATAATAATATGTTCAATACTTCAATTAAATTTGTTATGAAATTTCGTGAAATCTGTGAAATATCAAATTGAGTTTTTTTCTCGACATCGGTATGTGTTACACAGTATTGAATACATTTCATTGTGTGATTTTTTTGGCAAAAAAAACTGAAATGTCGGCCATCGGTTGCCCAATGGAAAGCGAAGTCTAATGTGTTGTGGCTTGCTTTGATTGTTTGTTTTTTTCTGTGACGAAAGCAAACAGATGGATAAGTTTCGACAGCACTTTATAATATGACAAATGACAGATAGGCTTTTCTGTTAAACGTTTTCAATGCAAGGTCACATTTTATTCTTTTTTAAGATAACATAAGTATTTACCACATTGTTTGAACATTCACAGCACTAGAGGATCCATGGCGCTAAAGGTCACTTAATATCTATCTATGAACGAAATAGGGTTTTACCCATGTATAAAGGTTTTATGAAATTAATTTGTGGATTATTTTCCGTTTGATAACAGATTAAGATTAAGAAGAAATTTAGTGTCACCTATTTACTTCCTTAGTCGGCTTTTACGACACCTACGGGTGGTGTCGTAAAAGCCGACTAAGGAAGTAAACTAAGCAGGACAGCAGCATTGCAAAGATAAGGAAAACTTGAAACAAACCCTATACGAACCCGTCTAACCAGCGTAGTATAGTAAGCCAAAACTTCCTTTCTAAGGAGAGGTCTATGTTCAGCATCGGAGTAGTAAAGGCTGTTGATGATGAAGATGATAACAGCATCATCACTTATCCAGTTATGTTATATTATGTAGATTACTTCGGATCGGAGTTGGCCATCCCCTTAATATTGACCCAGAGACTGACATTAGGATCTAAATCTTTTTGTCGGTATTCTAGACCCAACGACTGTTTAGATTGAGTCTAGGTGACGTTGTGTGATATGTGTTCAGTCAGACTATGATTAAGTAGATTTCATATGGGTATAACACAAAGCTATATATTACGTTACTTTCAATCGTAAAGGTACAACAAACCTATTTCTACACTGTCATGGACTAACTCGAAGTGCAGTGACAAGACTAAAAACCGTCAAATTAAATACAGACTTTTTTCTATCAAAAAATTGATTCAAAGTTAACCTGTAATAAAGTAGGATCTCGTCAAAAGAGTATTTAAATGAACCTCCAACACACAATGGTCTATTAAGAGTTTATTCCATAGTTTTTATAGTTGAGTACCGTTTAAGCTCGGATTAAAAAGTATTACTATGGAGAACCATTTTGTCAACCGTGCATCTAATTATATTCTAATCTTTGGATGTAGAATACTAGAAGTGGCCTTTTATGTATTTTATTTAAATTAGTTTTGTTACATGGGAGCTTTTTGATAGAAAACATCTTTTATCTCGTTTTCTTGTACTCTATGGGAGCGGAACTCGTGAAACGCGACGGCAGTCCATACTAATATTATGAATTCGAAAGTGTCTCTGTCTATTTGTCTCTCTGTCTGGCTGTTACTTCTTCACACAACCCGCTGAACCGATATATATGAAATTTTGTGTAGAGATAGTTTGAGTCCCGGGAAAGGACATAGAATATTCATTCATATTTTCTGCCCAGAAAACATCCTTTAAGGGGGTGATAAGGTTTTTGGGGAATCAATAACTGCTGAACCGATTTAAATGAAATTTTGGTATGGAGATAGATTAAGTTGTGGGGCAGGATATAGACTACCGCGATAACCGACATACACGCGAGCGGAGCCGCGGGAAAAAGCTAGTGTGTAATAAGTAGAAAGCCGTAGAAGAATGCGCTATTTAATTTGACCAATGAGCGCACAAGGTTCTAGAGTTGCCTGACAGATGAAATGTTACATATGATATGTTACTAAAGCTCTCTCAAGCGATCTCTTTTATATGGGGGTATATGTACTAAATATAGTATAATTTTTTCAATGACCTACCCATTGATATACAAAAAAACCCAAGATACACAGTCAGGATATCAAAACCGTCCGCATAAAATGAGCGCTAAACTCCAAATTGAGCGCTCATTTCAAATAGTCTCGCATCGCCCGTGTTTATGCACGCACGACAAAAATGCCAAAGTGTTCTATGAAAAATTGCAAAAATAATACGTCAAGAACTTTAAAAAAGGATGGAATATCTTATTTTCGGTAAGTAAAATAGTTTATTGATTTGCTTTTCTGGTTTTCATGACTAAATATAGGAAGTATTATGTGATTTTGATTTATTTTATCTAAAATCTTCACTTAACGGTCCAATATAGTACAGCACATTTCAATAGGTTCGTATCAGTGTAAGAACAACGCATTACAACGTCCTTTAAATTAGTCGCTTAATACAAATGACCCTGTTCGTTTCCAATGGAGTCGATTTTTAATATTGAACTATTTTTTTTATTAATAAGAATTATAAGTTTGTTCACGTTTTGACTTTATTTGAGTGTAATTTGTAACTAATGTTTATATATCATACAATATAACATAGTTTCGAATCGACTTTCAAAAGTTGAAGAGGCAGTCATGTTGACTATTTTTTTTTTAATTTTCTGTATATTTCTATTACTTAGGACTTCTGATTTTTGTAGGTATGTACCAACTATATACCTCCTATATGATTTCTAATTTTAATATTTTAGTTTTCCTCGTGACCCAATACGATGTGAAGAGTGGAAATCAATCGTCAGTCAGCAAAGGCCTGAAGATTTTTTTTAACCAAATAGATCAAGTGTAGTTTGTTCAGAACATTTTTTGGACGAAGATATGTATGTCACTGCAAAAGGCATAAAACGTGTTCTTAAAACGGCTGTTCCTCGTGTAGCGGTAAGTAACTATGGTTACCCAGAGAATAGTTTGTCGAATTAGTATCGTTATTAGGTACCTCTTGATTCGAATAATTATTTTTAATAATCATATCTTTTCAAGTCCTTAAGATTGTAAGTAACTACAGTGAAGAACGAACGGAACTTTATTTCCGTTTTACAATAAAATGTTACTTGGTATTCTTATAGTTACTTATCACTTTAATGTTGCTTACAGATTGAACCGGACAATGGCGATGATACTGAAGTTGGTCCTACCATGTTCGTTTTAGATAACAACAAGGAATTCAAATCTCCTACTACTTCTCTAAGTATAGGCTCAATTTTGGATACACTTGGAAAAGTTACTATAAAAAGCGAACTGCACAAATGCCAAAGCCTTCTGCGGCTAATTAGTAATAAAAAAGTAATTGACAACTTAAGGAAAAGAAATTCTAGGCTTGTTGAAAACATATTTTTATAAATTATTAAAATATTAAGTGAACGTAGTATAAAAATAAAAAGTATAAACATAATGAAGTCTCCATTCCATGCCTTGTCCTACCAGCAGACTTCGGTCGTAAAATTTTATTGCTTTTTGTACACTGCTTTGTAAAAAGAGCTTTATATCATGTGCGTAAGGTTAAATTTGCAAAAAAATATGTTTATAACATAACTATAACTACTCAAGTGTGATTGGAGACAGATTCAAGTGTTACTTTAGTTCGAGACTGTGTATCTTGGGTTTTTTGTATATCAATGGACCTACCATATGTCACATTGGGCCGTCGGATCACAGACTAGGCAGAGCCTGTACTATGGTAACTAGACTGTTGATCAACATACATATATATTACAAGTACGTAATAGATTAATTAAACCCAGACACAAAACAAGTGATTATGCTCATCACACAATTATTTGTCCTAGGTGGGAATCAAACTTACGACCTCTTGCTTAGCAATCGGGGTCACTAACCGCTAGACCAATATGCTCGTGTACTTATTAACTCACTTACAGAATAAGATCTGCTATTATTTCTAGTTTGAACATTTTGCTGGTTTTAAATTTTACAATGGTACTAATTCTGTAATTCGAAAACTCTATAAACTAAACTATAAATTACTAAAAATTAGGTTAGTCCTGTCAAACAACGTTTCGTATTCTAAAAACATTGTACTTGACTGAACTAAACTATTTAGTTTAGTTTTCGAACAACAGAATTAGTACCATTTTCTGATTTTCCTGTACAAAATAACGGAATACAGGTTTAGAAACTTTTTTGTTTCTTTGCAGTCTGCAGAAGACAATTCGTAAGCAGTGGGTAACCGATTAGGTGTCAGCGGGGGGCCTAGAATTTGTGTTTACTGTACCGAGATTTAGTTTTAGTTTTCTTGTAGTCCTAGATAGAGAAGAGACAGGTAGTTCGTGTATTACGTAAGCAAACTTTCAGTGCTTAGATTCCTCATTAAGATTGCTAGCCTGGACATGCGGTACTTTTTTAGAAGCCTGTGAACGCCCCAGGAGGCTTCTGCGCTTCTGGAAGGAGCTTGGCTGGCTCACCTAGTCAACCAATCCTCGACGCATAAAGGACCACTCTGAGTCTAAATGCGGAAACCGAAGCCCACAACCAATACCAATGCGGTACTTTTATAATATATTGACCAAATTTTGATTTTAATGAAATTATTTTCCTTAGTCTATCGTTAGTATACATTTTGTATTCTTTTAATAACAGACAACATTAATAAAAGTTAACTCATCTCGACCTATCACATTACTACTTCAATAACAAAAAACGGACACTGGTTACGTCAAACTTTGAAGACTATCAAGACACGTGGAATACCCATGCTTCAGTCGGTTCGACCGACAGACAATTCGGCAGACATCCATAGTTAAGCAATTCTTCCAGGACTGCAATATCAATCCCCTCTCTTTCCCACTTAAGTCTGGGGGTAAAACACTCAAAGAGCGACAACGTACTGGTGTCTCTTGTAGTGCAGGTGTTCATGGGCGGCGGTGGTTACCTTCTTAAGATACCATTAGATCACTCGTATACTTGAATGTTGTGTATGTGACGGTTGTGGGGCACTTAAACATATAAAAACATGCTAACAGATCACTATTTTCAAGTATCCCTTAAATTGATCTCCTCTAATTTTTATCTAATAATATGTGATCAGAACATAACTAAAAAAATGGCCACGGCTGTTGAACACAATATAAACCAGACGACACGATAATAAACCTTATTATTTGATTCACTGTTACAAAGCATAAAAACTCAAAAAACTTAAATTGTATTTAACGGTTTGAGAGTAAAAAATGTCTGAAATAAATTAGGTACTTACTTAGTCGTAGTATTAAAAAATATTCTTTTGCGATATACAGCTTTCACCAACTTTTTGGTTTTCTTTTTTTCAATTAAATAGGTATTACAAGAAATACTTGCCAGTATTTTAAAGTTATTTAAAATTTGACATTTCTTCACTTTTTTATTAATTGTATTTGCTCACTTTATTGGATAGAAAATGTAGATTAATAGCTGAAGTTTTTTAGGCTCTTAAAAAAGCTATTAGATGTTAAATTCGCTAAATTTTATTGATATGCAAATATGTATAGTGAAAATTTGTCTGTCTCCGCGGTCATTGATTGTGCACCATTTACATTTTTTTAAGTTTTTAAGTAATTTGCAACTAGTTAAGCTAACAATACTACATATATAAGTTACGATGATATGTTGATGTTGATGTTGATAATTTCATGGTACCATTTATCAAAAGAATCCAAAATGGCCGCTGGTTATCTATGCCTACCTAGGCTTTAAGATACGACTTACCTACTACAAAAATATCGAGGTTAAATACTATTACTAGTCGGTTCCCACTAATGTGGTTCCATTGAGACAGTCCTAAGGGTCATACATATATTATTGTGGACCTAAGGGTCATACATATATTACACAAAAACCCGCGCGAGCAACGGGATTGTACAGTCTACCTGACCTTCAAATTAAGACTAATTTCTATATCAGAGCTTTGCTTATGCCTTAGGTGAATCAAATAATAGTATAATATAATCAATATTACTTGTAATTCTTTTCATGAACAAGTTAAAAAAAATAAAAGGAGGTCAAATGTCTTTATATGAGGATAAGGAGATCAAAAAATAGCTTAATTAAATCGTAAAGTAATTAATTAATGATCCCTTAGTATAAACAGTTACTAACAGACAGGTAGTAATGTTTTTACAAGTGTGCGTATAAAAAAACACCGATTTTGCTGGGCCATTTCTAGTAAAACTTTATTCAGTTTCAATCATTATAGCCCGTGGTGCTCATTTTCATCAGACTATTATTTGTTTACTTTTTTTGCTGGCGGTCAGTGAATTGATCTCGGATGTAGAACTATTACTTCTAGGTAGCAGGGTTCGCAAAAAAAATATAATTATTATTGTAAACCGACAGCCTCGATGGTGCAGTGGTAGCGTATGCGACTGCTGTGTTGAGGTCTCGGGTTCGATTCCCGGATCGGATCATATATATCATATTTGTTTTGGAGTTTTGGTGATTACTATGTATAGCACGAATGTATTTACAAAAAAAAAATCTAAGTATTCTATCAGTCAATCTAGCTTTCATAGTACAAGCTCTGCTTAGTTTGAAACTAACGTTGTGTGTCAGATGTCCGGAATATTTATTTAAATATTTATTTTTCTAAATAATATTATAAAGCCGTTTGGCTCCCACAGTACAGGCTCTAACTAGTTTGGGATCAGACGACCACGCCTTAGGTATCTCAAGTTTTCTATACAAATAAATAAAATTAAAGTGTCAGTCTGTAATGTCTATTAATAATAGGTTTTTTTTTCATGCTCACATTGTTATTTGCACGATACTTACGCCTAAATATCAGCTAAATTTTTTTATCTGTCTGTTTGTTCTGGGTAATCTTCTAAACAGCTGGACCAATTTTGTTAATATTTTATTACCAGGTAGTGGTATATATAAGAAGTAAGGAGTTACGCTATTTTCCCTCTCTGAAACACCCTTTAAAATTTTTCCTGGTCCGGGAATCGAACCCACCAAGGCAGCGCTTTTCAAATTCCCTACGAACAAAGTTGTAATGTTTTCACGATTGAGCCATAAGTGATCAAACATTGAACAAAACACTGGCAATCAATTTCGCATTATGATTTAAAATAACAAACCCAATACTAAACTGAAAATACTAAAATAACCGTTGTTTCTAAACTCGTTAACAAAAATATATTCGGCTGCTGACAGTACCTGTGTTTCACACCAGCGCTTGCGCACAAACCGTATCAATTTATAATACAAAACTATTGTTTAGCTATAATGAAAAATTGCATTTAAATAAATATGATATATATTTGTATTTAAAATAGCTAATATTTCAATTTAAGTGACTGCCTATCGTATTGTGTTACGGAGCAATATGGCTATGGCGCTACAACTAATAACCATATTTTTATGTTGTCTTACTATAACTCTACTCTGTATTAAAAAATCTAATCACTATTACTTAAAAGTAAGATTACAAATGTTAAATAAGAGGGAAAGTATAGTAGGCATTAATAAGGTGTTCCATTACCTACTGCTTTCAGTGGAAAGATGTCCAGCAGTGGACTGTTAAACGCTGTCGATAATGATGATGACCCCTTTCAGTGTATGAAAGTTTCTTTATTTTTCAAAAGCTGACAACCAAGGAGGCTTGTAAGCGTTTTTTGAGTCGGGGGTATTTTAAATTTCTAGTTTATACTTTTGAATAAGGATGCACAAGTATAAACTTAAAATATAAATACCCCTGACTCGAAAATCACTTAAACAATATAAAAATAACTTTTTTTAATGACAACTATGCATAGGTTAGGTATGTTCAATCAAATCACCTTACAAACAAAAGGAAATTAAATCAGAATCGATCCATTTGTTTAGGAACTATGATGACACAGACTTATAGATACACAAGTTAAACCTCCATTTTGCATCCTGGATTGATAACAAGATACATTGTAAGTATGAATATTGTAGTAATACGTGGTTTCCTTGTCCACAGTCCCTGGATGGATTCGCGCTGTCGGTAGCAGCAGATGGGCGGTTCCTGTACATATCTGAAACTGTTTCTATATATTTAGGATTATCACAAGTAAGTACAAACAATCTCCATTTACATACTATGTATACTCGTTTTACTAATTAGCATAGTCTTCAAAATATCAAATAAAATTAACTCTAGTAACATGTTTGAAAGAATTTATGATCTGAGTAGGAAATGTTACACAATATTTATTATCACATTTAGATACACGTAAAAATGAAGTACACTTATAAACCAATTAATTACAACAACTGATTGATTAATGTTTATAAGGCTCTAACACCACTGATTAGGAATACAGAGCGTCACCACCCCTATTCATCCCGTGGGTGTCATAAGAGCCGACTAAGGGAGCAAACTGTGCAAAACAACCCAAACAAGCAAACTGTCCAAAAAGAAGGAAAACTTGAAACAAACCCATACAAACCCGTCTGGCCAGCGTGGTATAGTAGGCCAAAACCTCCATTTTAAGGAGAGGCTAAGGGCTGTTGATCATGATGATGATGAACTCCACTGTAAGGAACAAAAAAACTTTTAGTTTCAGTAATAATATGGAAAACATCTCTTTAAAAAGGCAGACTATAGAAAGCTATCAACCTTAGAAAAACTTTGTTTATACAATTATGTTACACTTTTTATTTTCAAAATCCTGTCTATGGCCGTCTGCTAGGCAAATTATTATCTATCACTATGCTGTTACTAAATAAATCTAAACTGATAAATGACGCTTTGTTTATCAAAGAAATCAGGGTCTCACAATACTACTAAAACATAAGCGACAAATTCTGCCATTGTCTAATGAAAACGGTGTTTTTTTTTTCCCGAAAAGAGAAATTCATATACCTGCCCAAATTAATTTGTATAAGCATTAACGAAATTAGTACATGTAAGTTTATATTTAAAACAAAACTAACAAACCAGCATACTAAAAGTCTGAGTTAGTGCGCATCCCACAAGCTCCAAAATAGGGCGCCATAATACCTTGTACACTTTCATACATACAAAACTCATTCACACGTGCACACAAACAAATAGTAAGATTTAATCAGTGGATATTCGGCGCCGCTAGAAAGACTCCTAGATGTACACAGATAAGTCTTGTACACATGACACGTGTCGTGTTATGACTATACGTGGTTTTTGTACCATACTATCTTTTTTCGGAGGATCTTTAAAGGGTTAACTTTTTTTTAAGGAAGGGGTATGGTAGCTGACGTTACGTTGTCTCAGAGTGAAGATATTTTAAAATTAAAACAAAAAATTTAAGAAATATTCTTTATGATAGTAACATACTGTCAAACATACAAAGTCCCCCGCGACACAGGATTTATTCCTAATGCGGGAGTTGTCTTTTTCAGAAAAAAAAAAGACTGTTGGCTAAAAGCGAATTAACGAAAATACTTTTACTAAGTTAAACACAAAAACATTTATAACTTAATTTAGCTAAACTACTCTGTGTAAAATAAATTCACCTGATATACGACGTTATGTGTTCAAAGTAAAACAGCAGATAACAATTTTATAAAAACATAAGTATCTATAATTAAAAATAAAATATAACGAAAATTAAATAACTTCACAAAATTAAAAGGCACTGCGAAAAGAGCCGAAAACTGGGAAATTTGTTTCCAAAATGGCTGCAGGGGGTGGTGTGAGAGAGAAGGCAGATGGGGGGAAAGGGACGATACGATATGCCAGTCACGTCGCGGGCCAGGCGCGCGCGTGCTCTTCATTCTAATGCTCGAACTCACACACCCCCAAATGTACACACACACAGATCCGAAAACATCGAAACACCTTTCACATACTTGTGTGTGCACATGCGTATGTGTATAATATAAAATACATAAACTTCCTGGTAAATAAGAGTAGATACAACATTCTTATAAGTGAAGTTCGCGTTAGACGTTTGGGATATATTAAATTCAGTCTTTCTTTGCCTCTAAAGATGGTAAAGGCTATGGGAAATCACTTTTTTCTGAATCAAAGGCTTTTGTTTGTTTCCTTTCTATGTAAAAATGAATACTGCATTATGAAAATATCAGATGAAAAGGTCGAAATAAGCCGTTCGTTCCGCGCATAAATTAAGTTTGAGCCAAATTTGCGCATGATCCCATCTGTATTTTTTTTTTAAATTGTCTTCTAGATAATTCCTAGTAGCTGCATGAAGAGAATTGTTTTCCCATTACTGCGTTTTATAAAATTTAAGGCTGGTAGATTCTAATGTAAAAAGCGACTTTTTAGTAAATAAAAATAGCTCAGAAAAAATGCCTACAATAAAACACTTTGGTTTGAACACCAAAATTTTTTAATCATAATATTTTCCCTTAAATCTTGGTATAAAGTATTACATCACCACAATGTACATTTTGGCATCATGAACTATATTCTAAACATGTCTATACCATGTGTCAAGCACATGTCAATGCTTCTTAAAACTTTTCCACGACAAAATAATTGTGTGTCTAAAAATTGTCCCATCAATCGGCGAATCGGTAAACGCCATAAAATCCTTTCCATCATTCTAAGAACCGACCACCATAACGTCACCATTGTTTTATAGTATTTACATTCATAGCCTGACTGCGGATACACGTTTACAGAATGTGTAATAGGGTCCCACAATTATATTTGATAAATTTATTTAAAGATGCATTTGAATAAGCCGTGAAAGGGTCATCGGGAAAGCTTTGTTGGCATCTACTTGATTTTGGGTAAATTTATTATCGCTATTGTATTTTAATATTTCTTCTTTTCGCAAAGTACTCGTGTTATAATCAAATGCAATTTTCAAATTCGATTTTTTTTTAATATCACCAGGTCCCTTACATTCACTTCTTGTATTTATCAAGCATCTTTTCAAACATAAAGCTTACAACTTTATCATAAGAAAGCTTTATCACATTGGCTATCAACAACTTCTTCAAAGATAATCGCAATGTCTTCAACGTCCTCATCAATCCTGACGTAAAAATTCTCGTTAGCTGTTTCTATGAAGCCACCTGCTATGCGATGCGTGATAACAAGTCTTTCATTCATAACAATGTTGTACGTGACGGTTGGACAGGCCACCGTATAACTCCTACGTTTGGATACTGGTTTTTTATTAGTTAATAATTGTGTAAGACAGTCTTGAATGGGATTTTAGGATAAAATATTTTAGTAACTACTTTTAAAATAACTAAAATAACTAAAATTTATTCACATTTCTAAAAAAAAAATTACGAGCGATCTGTATATCCTTATTATTTGCCCTGATGTTGTCTGTTAACATGGAGGTGGAATCCGCTGTGAAATTTGCTTAATACTTATTCTAATTTTGGTTTTGTTCATCAGGTGGAGATGACAGGCAGTAGTATATTTGACTACGTGCATCAAAGTGATCATGCTGAAATAGCTGAACAACTTGGTTTATCTCTTACGGGAAGACCTGGACAAACTGGGTTAAATAGTCCAGCATCCGGGAGCGAAGAAGGAAGTCAACATGGAACTAACAATCCAGACGGTGAGTACAGTATGAATAAAAAATAAGTTTTACACAAACGAAGGCTCTGTACTTAGATAAAAATTTCTTTTATATCTACTTAAGTGAAGAATATGTATGAATAAACCTTACTATAAAAATAAAACAACAGTTCCTTCCAAAACAACATACGTTTTTATAACGCTATGATTTTAATCTTACATCCGTTGGCAGGCATCCTTTTAGGAAAGTTGTTGTGATGTACCTTACATCACAACAACTTTACTAAAATGAAACAGCTTCTATCTATTTCTATATAAGTTAAATATTGCCCTATTCAATTGAGTTTCATTTTCTTCTTTATTTGATCTATTTGTCAAGTAGTCGGCCGTCCCACTATTGATACCTTGAAATAAACCGTTTAACTTTATTTGATTCCAGCCGAAGTGCCAGATAGTTGTAAAAAATCTCGCCAAAAACAGTAAAGCGAACACATTTTACCGTTACTCATTCTAAACAGTTGTCACATAGTAAATGAAAAGCAAGAATTATCAAATCGTCTTTACCAACAAAAAAATTGTGCTCGGAATTCAATTAAAGTCGACTTATTTCCGAGGCCGTTGCTCCATCGACAATCAGCGACAATACCGATCTAAAATTTCACCTAGTATATCGAATCGACGAATGCTGCCTCTAATAAGCTGTGGATCAAATTGAAATTAGATTATAGAGTGTTCACGCTGAATTTGGAACTTATGAAACAGACGATGGGGTGTCAGTGTCTACTTTTATTCCACAAATTAATATTTCATTGCTACACGAGTATGTATTAGGCAATGATGGCAGGCGCGCGTCGAATTGTGGTGTCATCAATATTGAATCTTGAGCAATCGGATCAAACATCTGTTTAATTTTCTAAAGTGATGTGGGTGTTGAGTTCAATTATAGGTAAAGAGAGGTAAAAAGTGGTTCTTGAAATAATTTTCACTGTCAATGGTGGTCGGCCGACTGCCACTCAGCGTTTTTATTATTTTGCGGTCAGCTGTTGTAAAAAGTTAACTCAGCAATCCGTATTCGATATTTTTCTTATGATTGTTCTACGTTTCTTTTGTTTAGATTGAGAGTTTGAAATAAGACAAAAAAGATGTTTACAGATTTAATTTGAAAAAATATAAATATCCGGGACGATGATACCTACACCCTTCTCGTATCAGGCCTAAATCCAAACAGGGACTAATCGCAAAATAAAATTTTATGGTGTTGCTGATTTCTTCCCGCTTGTAGCCTTCCTACAGCACTACAATAATTAGTTTTTATTTAATAAAAACAAAATATAAATAGTTTCTATTTTTAATATCAGCCAGTATATGTTTCCGAGAACAAAAAGAATATATACCAATCTGCTGTGCTAAGAAAAAAAATTATCAAAAAAAATGACATGCAGTTTCTGCAAATGATGCGTATTGCTTAGACTTTTTTGATGTGTGTATCTCTGAAAATGACGAAACTCCATACAACCGTTCATCCTTTATTTTACACCCTCAGGGGTGAAATTGCCAAAAACCCTATCTTACTAGGTGCTTTCAATATAAATTGTATCAGTTCCTAAAATTTCAAGTTTTTTACCCATGCGGTTTAGGCTTTTCCTTGATCACACGGCTGTAATATTATATAAAATATTATAATATACGGGTAATTTATTTAGCACATAAAAAAACTGTATTTTCTAAATAACTGGACAGGAATATTTCCAAAAGTTTTTAACGAGTCACTGACAAATTTTAATATTTACAATACTCGTAAACTAGTAAGAGAAAAGTTCGACAGAAAATTACAACAGATGCCAAGCAATGTTGAATTTTATATTAACTGCCGTATATTGCAAGCTTACAACAAATCTTAAGTTAAATCTGCATTTTGGATCACAATACAGACACATTATGTAGATGCTATTTTTGTTTCTTTAGATATTTCTATTCTCTCCATGATAATTTAAATAATATCGTTACGATTTCATAGCCAGAAGTACTATAGAATAGGTGCTGTTAATAAAAAAATGTTAACGTATATACGTCTAGTAAATTGTTACTAGGTCACTTCTAATTTCCATTGATTTCACACGTAACGTTGAAGGGATAGAACCCATTTCAATTTACACTTTGATGCTAAAAAAGTCGATAAAAAATCAATCAGGATCGGAATGGTTTGACAGTTAGCCATTGTATGGTGACGGGCGTAGTGAAATGCTTCACAGAACAGAAGGCCATGGTGAAATCACCACATTGTCACTTTGATAGCCATGGATCTTTAGGTGGAGCTGAGGTGACGGGATACAGTGGTTCTAAAACTGAAAATTCTGACCATTAAGGAAACTCGATACATTAGTATGAAAAATCTGCCAAAAACCGGCCGGCACAATCCAGCAAAGAAAATTTTAAATGAAAGTCATTTAAAATTATATCAAAGTATAAAATACACGACATTAATGATGTTTGTAAAATACTCGACCACTACGCAACTAATATCACAAACTGCATAATTTAAATGAATTTTCAATAAAAAAAATGTTTTACTCTAAATTCGTAAAATTAAAAAACTTCTTAGTTATTTAATTCTTATGAAGTTATATAACACCCAAGAGAACGGTTACATTTGATTAATATTCTAAAGTGATGATAGCCATCAATTAAAAGTTACGCTGTTATCGATACATACAAGGTGAATACCTAATAACAAAAAGCTTGATTTATGAAAGGTCTAAAGACATCAATCATAACTAAAAAAAGCCAATTTGATTTTTGACATCCATTTGCCTAGATACTTTCATCATCAGCCTATCGCAGTCCACTGCTGGACATAGGCCTCTCCCATTGCACCTCACTTTGATCGATTTTGGGCTTCTCGCATCCAGCTCCTGCCAGCCATCTTGCGCAAATCGTCACTCCACCTGGCCTGTGGGCGTCCTACTTACTAGATACTTTGTTACATGATAATTCACTTTGTTAGGTTTTTGCTCAATATAGATATTTTTTACCAACAATACTGACATCTTTTCATAGAATTTAACCTGAAAACGTCAAATATACAATGTTGGCAAATGAATCTTATTCTGTTAAGAGGTAAAAAATTTAGATCTTTTTGCGATTGTTTTTGATAAATCAACTGGTTTTTAACAATTGCTTAACTGTTATTACGCCTAATTTTATAATCTACTTTATTAACAGCCCATTCCCAAACTACACATAACGTTTTATTCATTAGGTGGTACTGAAGTTGTTGAAAACTTACTTATTTTAGATTAGAAATTCATTTATTAAGTAACTATTGGGCGAGGTCTGTATTTCACTAACACCTCTAATTAGAAAGTAATATCAGACCCAGGCTCTCAGTTTAGCAAGACGGTAACACAAATAGACGCGGAGAAGATACGTACGCACACTTGAAAAAACGCGACAAATTCGCCGAAACTGTTCTATTATTGACACGAGTAATAAAAGCGAAAAGCAAAAGTAACGTAACCCTATTATACATCAAGGTTACACAAATATTTTTTCGGTGAGTCAATATAGTTACGTATTTAGTGCAGACGTGATGCAGATTGACATACCAATTGTATCCATAGTGGTTATTGCACCTATTGCCAAAGATTAAAGTTTCAACAGACATTGCATGCGATTTGAATTTAAATGGGTGGACAATTATTTTTATGTGACTGGCTATTATCGGGCTTGGTTACAATGAGGATTTCGTTTGTGTGTTTTCTTAGAAATATCTTGAATTTTCACAAGTTTTAGTCGAACTTAACACGTAGGAATTGGCATTTAAGATGTTTTTTTTTCTTTTTTGATAAAGTTATGCTCAGGATAGGCAAGTGAAGATCAAGAACGGTGAAAAAGGATTACAAGAGAAATAACGACTGCCTTAATACTCCTTACTTCTACAGTTTATTACTACTTCTTTCTGTTAACAGCATATTTTTTTACATTTCAGCCTTAAACAGTAACATAAAATAACAAATTTATATTTATATCTTATAGAAAATTACCGATTTGTAAGATTTTATGCAGTTTAATAAATAACAGCCCATTTCTACTAAGATCCAGTTTGTTTGACTAATACTAATCTATTAGTCATTCCAATATAGGAAGTAAAAATACCCTGACAAAAAACAAACAATGTTCAAAACAACAAAAATCTATTTATTCACAACGTGAGATAAAAACCGTAATCCCATTTTTATTCTATATTAACCTAGGTTACGATAACAAATTTAGTTCTTGCGTTACTGTCGATATTATCTTATGTCATCCAAAATCTTTTCATTTTTTGCGACTTGCTCACAATTAGTAAACTATACAATATTGAACATCATCAGAAATCATCAGAAAGGGTTTTACAGGGTTAATTTTGGTGCGTGTACAAAAACTTCAAACTAATTGAACCCTAAACATTCCTTCATCGAACTACTAAACGAAAACGGGTGTTTTATCGTTTCATTGTCGATACACTAAAAAGTAGAACTAAACGGAATAAATTGTCTGCCTTTACTTTTCTAGGCAATAATAGATCTTTAAGTAGAGCTTATAGGTTTGACTTAGGTAGGCGTATACCATGTTCATTTTTATCGTTACTTTTTCTCAGGTATTTTGGAAGACAAGCGCCAATGGCGTTGCTCTTAAAAAACTTGTATCTTTTTTATCTCATACTCATAAAATTTAAAAGTAATAAAATAAAAAGCTTTTAAAATAGCGCGTTTAACAGACCATTTCTAAAACTTTTGGAATCGTCGTCAAATAGTTTAGTGACTTTGTGAGTCCAGTAAAATCAATTTAACCGTAGTGTCGATCGCTTCGTCTCTCAGTTGCCAGAGATCTTATAATTAGCTACACGTCCACCCAATCAATCAGCTCTCACACTGATTGATTCACTTTTCAACCAAAAATTGGTTTTATTTGTTGTAAATTTCATTTATTCTTTGGATTTTTTTGTATGGATGTGTTAATTACGAAAATTAAAAAAATGGAGATTGCGGTTGAATGAAAGGTTGGAAATATCCAAATAACAACTGAATAGAATTGAATTTAGGATGAGGTAAAAATATTTACGGCTTAAGTGTAGTGTGTTATCAGTAACCACTATAGTGTTATCACAAATTAATTTCCTTAGATTTAACGTTATAACCGTTCAAAATTTAACAATTTAACTCTAATTTTTGTTCAATCTTTTATCAACAGTATCATCTCAAATGAGTCTAGCGGCAAGTGGAGCATTATACCGGGGTATGGACCGAGCGTTTTGTATAAGAATGAAGAGCACGTTAACTAAGCGAGGCTGCCACTTTAAGTCTTCAGGATATCGGGTAAGGAAACCAACGATAATAACCATGAATATTAAAGATTTGGTAGAAGGCTACAAAATGTTAAATATTCGATGAATCACTTAAAGAATTAAGAATATTTCAAAATAATTTTCTCATAAGCTCACATGTAGACATTGCCTTTTCTACGAAATCAATGCCCTTACTAATACGAGCTATGTGAACCATGTAAGTAATTAATTAATTTAAAAATCAATAATGAATTTCTAAGAGTTCTATCAAGAGAAGTATCATTATTTATTTCTAAAGTAATTCGTAAAACAGGACCGTACTTTCGTTCCGTATTAAGCATGAATAAATCTAAGTGGACGCTGAATGTTCGTTTTCAATCTAGGTTGGAAGAGGCAAGGATGGTGAGTCTTCAAGATGCAGTGAGAGTGGTAACTGGCGGGTGGGTATCTCGTTGCGAGAAAAATTGTTTTCAATGTACAAAACTATTTCGTTTTTCATGTCTCAGTTTTTACTTCGTTAAAGCGTATTAAAAGAACATCCCTGCACTACACAAAAAAAATTAGCTAAAGCTTTGGCGCTGTAACTAAATCAGACTTTTTGAAACAACTCCTCCAAACATGATTTCGTTGCTGTTATATCTTTGTTAGTACCAACAAATGGATTCGAACGACCTCTTTATCCATCTTAGATCAGAAATATTATTGGTTAGAATTATTGTTACCGTGGGGTGCCGCAAGGCGCCATTATACGGCCCCATAATTTTTGCTTTAACTCGGTGCTAGGTCATAAAATGTGATTATATCAAGCGACTCCAAAATACTGGCAATGGCGAGTAAATTTGCTGTGAGATTGTTTCCGAGGTGTAAATTCTTCTTTTATTTCATAAGCAGTTTCTTGGACACTTTTACGTCAAGGGGATGTTTATATCTTTATTGGCTGTCGATTGCTCTTTTATATTTACTATACTTTAAGGGGCATTTAAGTCTAAAGTGGCAGTCACTACCATAACTTATGTTATCTGCATCTAAATGACTAAAATAGCTTTCGATATCAATAGAGCAATTAATATTGCAGAAGTGGTTATCGAGTGTGCTTAATGTGCCAAAGGCAATGGTTTAATTGGGAAAATTGTGAATTAGTTCATCTTCCTTATATTTGATCTTCGGATACGATTACCTGGTAATATGTACGGTACGTGCTTTTAAAACATTTTGCTGTGTAACAAATAATGTTTCTGTTCTGAGTTATATTCGAAACTTTCAACGGTATATGAGGCACGTGCAGTGGTCTGTTTCCGAAAACCAAATTAACAAGTATTAATTTTATTCCTTTCTTATTTTTGTTTATTTAATTCGTTTACAGGTTAGATGGTCACATGTTATTTTAAGTAGGTAATAAGAATATGTCGCTGTATGAAGTTATTTTGATAAACTAGATACACTTTGCTCGTTTCAGATGATGATTTTGTTTGTTATTGTAATGTCCAAATATTACAATAGAAGTTTAAGAGTTTTATAATATTTCAGAATCAACATTTCAAGATTTTTATACCTAAAGCAGTAGCAAAATCTATATCATAAGTTATTTATTTTTACTTCTACGTTTGTTTCTTTCTTTCCAGGTCGTTCTGATGTTGTGTCGCCTCCGGCCCCAGTACTCCTTTTCCCATAGCCGCAAATCTCCAACTGTACTTCTAGGAATGGTGGCTCTCGCCATAGCGTTACCTCCGCCATCAGTCCACGAGATCAGACTAGAATCAGACATGTTTGTCACGAGAATCAACTTTGACTTCCGAATAGCACATTGCGAGCCCAGGTATTACATGACTTTGGTCATTTATTTTATTTTTCCTATGTATCATAATAGTGACTCATTTCGTTGAATCTCTTGCAAAAATCTTGTATTATTTAGATACGTTTGCTTTACTACAAGGTGTAATTGATTTTTTACATTTTGATAATTAAACAACAAGATAGACTTGAAAGTTATGAGTTAGATTATATGTATTTGAATCATTTATTTTAAAATCAGCAGGGTATCAGAGCTCCTGGGCTACACTGCTGAGGAGTTGACGGGGAAAAACCTGTACGCGCTTTGCCACGGAGAGGACGCCAATAAACTTAGAAAATGTCACGTAGATTGTAAGTATCTAGTGTAACAATATTTGTTTTACTCTAGCTAAAATTGCTTTTATCTTTATGTAGTCAGTCAAAAATACTTATTTAGTTAAATTTACAACTTACCGACCACCTTTTAGTGATAGTTTTTTTGCTGGAAGTAAGTCATTTTTAAACTTAATAAGTGTAAAGACTAAGTCCGTGTTTAACTTATATTGTAAAATGAATTGTCATGATAATTCCTGTTACCTACTTCCTATAATAATATTACATTTCTCTTTAAGCTCCCCACGAACAAATCAAATCAAATTAGGCATCGTTAATTGTCACATCAACACATAGTCGTGGTTTAATTATACTTGCTGGTATATCATCAGTTGTCTATAAACAATGCGATGTCCACCCATGACCCAATATATGTGGTGAAATCCTTCATAGGTTAATGTTGTAACAAACGATTTGTATTCAGTATGTGGACTATAGAAATCCATGTCAAGTAGACTGGCAGCTCAAGGCACAACGTTACGAGGAAAATTTATTAGACCAGGATTTTGTGTGAACTTTTCTTTTTCAGATTTTCGATTTATATGCTGTTGTTTTTATTAGTAGATATTATAAGTTACGTTACAAATCTGTACATGAAATATTTGCGTAGATGAAAGCCAAAATGTGTTTCTTATTGCCTTCAAATATGATATGCACGATCTTATTCTATTATACAGAAGTAAAGAAGACGAAGATATAAAACTGTCGTTTCATTAAAATTTCTCTGTCTGGTTCTTTCCTGATACCGGCTTGACATCCCATTTCGTGACTCTTATACCGAATTTTTTATATCTAAATAATATTTCCATGCACAGAATTATTACTTTCGTATACATTCGTCACTGGAATACAATTTAGGCCTAGCGCCACAGCGGTCCGTCTCTACGAGTTGTGCTTTGAATATGTAATTTTTATACCACCATTTTGGTTTCCTCTCCCTTTGCGGCGACGTGGGAAACGTCATGTTCTAATGTCCTTTGAGATGAGTTTTTCTACTTTATGATTATGTCTACCTGATTTACAGCGTGAATCATGTCTTTTGTTGTTTTCAAGTTTCTCAGTTTTTATTACTCTTGTTACTTTACCTTCGTACTCTTTCTGAGTACAAGTGCTTTTGACTCAAATTTCAGTTTTTTAAATGACCTATGAATGTCTAAGATAGTCAAATAGCGTAGAAATTCTCTAACATCAAATCTATGTTGATTCAATCATAAGGAAAATTCGTGACTACCACATAACTTAGTCACCTGAACTCAATCACGGATCTTTCGACTGCTCCACCACAAAAATACATTTCAAGAACAAAGATGACATGAATGGAAGGACTTATAATCCTGACGTAATCATCGAACTAATCATCATACATAACAAGATGGCTGACATTGTGAATGCCAATCACGGTGTAGCGTTAACGTCATGCGGTTCTAGCACCTTACAATTTGATAGCTTTACGAGACCATTAATTTGAATTTAAAATGTACATCTATGTAGATGCCGGTCAAATGTCCACATTCCTGGACTTGAATAACAATTGTACATATTAACATAAAAGTCCGGGTGTTTGATAGAAAGCGGGTAATTTGGTTACAACTGTATACGCAGTGTGATTACCAGATGACTTTATTGACGATTGTAAAGCGTATGATAATGAAATTTTGTGCATACGTCCAATAAAGTTAAATGATTATGTTTGGGACTTCCGACATGTCTGACGCCAAAGAATTTACTTAGTGGTCGGTTGCTGAAAAACAAATTGATTTATACCCCATTGTGTGTCATTAAGAAAAATTATTACTTAGTATTTAAAAAACTGATAATCATATTTCGTCTATATAGATTTTAGTTTGTTAGTTAATTCGTCAAAAATAAAATAACATTTGTTATTTTCAAGGTTCATGGCCTGTTTCCTTAACGTTATATGTTGCTATTTCAAGGTAAGGTGATATCCCGAAAACCTGCAAGTACTTAGTGTAATAAAAAAGTTTCTACCAATTATTTTAATGATAGTACTGACGGCAGAAATAGTAGGTATGTTGGTTGCAATCTTTGTGCAGAATTCATCTAGGTATGTTATTATGGCGTAGAGACTCATTGTCTATCATGTAGACCTTATACACTATAGTGACTACAACTTTAAATTATCAGTTTCACTTACTGGCATGCCTCCAATTTCCAGTGCATGACAATACATCAACAATGCCAAAAAGTGTTGAATCTAATGACTCACGTACCTTACTACACGTGTCAAATGTGTCCTTTGTGTACCAATCACATTAATATAATGTCACTAATATATACGATATCTAACCTATTGTTCTAATAATGTTCAAGATGAAGGTCGCGGGGTTTAGTATGATCTAAGGCCTAAGTCTTTGTTAGTTTTTTTAATTAATCATCTGTTTATAACAGATGCTAAAACGCGCTATCAAAAAATATTTCCTTATTGTCTATTAACACTAACTTTCTAAGGAGAGGCTTATGTCCAGCAGTGGACTATTAAAGGCTGTTGATGATGATGATGAACACTAACTATCCTATGTTTCTTCTGGACAAAGAATCTTCTAATGTTGAAAGAATTATTTAAATCGGTGCAGCTGTGTTTCTTGACTATGCGCAAACAAATAGATAGTTCCTGTTTATTATAAATCGAGTGTAGATTATTGCCGGCTTTGTTGCCAATAGATACGGAGTTGAAGAAACCAGAGTAACAAGTATTAATCATGTATGTAACAATAGCATCGATACTCATTATAACAAATCAGTAAACCACAATTAAAAAAAAGCGAATACCCTATCCCAGCAGAAGGTACAAAAACTGAAACCGATCGTTTTTGCTCTAATGAAAACTTTTTCTCTGAACTAGTCAATAGCACAAGTCGAATAATTAAAATTACGACTCAAAATAACTTACTTTTATAGTATAAAGCTTAATAAGTTTCATTTGAATAATTTAAATATCATTAGCTTTCATTTGCTCGCCTAAAACTAATTATTCTGGAGCAAGGTATCCTACATACTCCTCGGTATCCCTACTAGCATTAAGGCAAAATTAAATGCGAAAGTAAGTATGTCTGTCTGTTACGCTTTTACGGCTAAAGCGCTCAACAGATTTTAATGAAACTTGGCATGGACATACTTTTGATTCTCATACCACATGATTACTTTTTACCACGATAACCTACAAACACGCAGGCGTGTTGCTGTGTGCAAAGGCTTATATTATTATTCATTTAGATAATATTTATATAAAGTTAAGTCTGTTTAGGATTGCTCCTCTTGTCGTCCAATCTCCGTAGCATTATGCGATGTGGACTCAATATTACTAGGCATTTTAGTATAAACATAAATTTGACATAAAAAACATACTAACGTTTACCCCCGTGTTTGTTTCAGTAATAAACAAAGGCCAAGTCTTGACACACTACTATAGGATAATGAACAAGCTTGGCGGCTACACCTGGATGCAGACATGTGCCACAGTTGTCTGCTCCTCCAAGAATGCCGAAGAACAAAATATTATCTGCGTCAACTATGTTATCAGGTAAGTTGAAACGTATTTGTGTTTTACGATCTTTATCATAATCTTAAAAGTATCATCATAACATTATGAGGCATTTAAGTAACTGTAACATATCTCTTTTCAGTGGACGAGAATATCCTAACACAGTAATGGACTGCTGTCAGCTGGAAGAAAGCGTACAGGGAGTGAAAAGAGAAGAAACAACAGGTGACCCAGAAAACGGACCACCTGACACGGACAACTCAGGAGCACCGCCACCTCCTCCCCGACACCCCACTGAACGGACCGAACCACCAACCAACACAGACTCCGCTTCCACAGCGCCAGTTCCCACTTCTGACGTAACCCATCTAACGAGACTCAGTGACGCTCAACCTTTACCTCTCCACACGAACACTGAAAGAACATCCCCTATGCCAGCTAGAAGACTGAAGAAACGAAAGCACACGACTGATTGTGAAGATGAAACAGACAGAGAGGAAGATAGACGGAAGTCTTCTTCTAATCCTGGAGCTGCAATATCACCCGCAGAAAGAGACATTACTAAGACAAACTTAACAATACCCGAAGGAGGATCGGATGCCACATCTGTTAGAGATCTGGAGAATGCCATGTCCAAACATTTGCCATCAGTCGCTTTAGATGGAAAAGAAATATCGCATCGACCGACTGACTTTTCAACTGATGCTCTACTGAAGCAACAACAGCAAAAATCAACAATACAATGGATTGGCACCCAAAACCATCACTTTAACCACTTAAACAGACAGATCCAAGGTAACCACACTTCGACACCCGCATCAGCTTTGCTAAGGCAACTGTATGCAAACAGAGAAAGTGTGATTAGAAGTAATATCTTAGGAGATGGTCGAACTGGTGGTTACTACTCTAGTGACGGCCAAACAGGACCTTTACCCACACCGCCAGGTAGTGAGGGATCAGGTTATAGCGAGCAGCTAGGGCATAAAGGGACTGATATTGGTTCGTTAGCTTACGGGGGCTATGCAGACTACCATTCAGCAATGACTCCTCCAGGCTCAGTGTCTCCACGAGACAAGCAGCAGTACGCTTTGCCATACGATAATAGTGCTTATTCTGAAGCATTACGACACTCTTACTTAGGTGAAGCACCATTGCCATTAAAGCCCCAAGCGTATTCAGCAGTACCTGGTGCATTAGATTACGCTTCATCGCTGGACCAGTCTCAATTCTTCCATCCACCTTCAACATTTCACTTGTACCATCCACAAGCGCATTCAGCGCACCCGCCGCATCCGCATCAACCTGTAGACAAGTCCGCACCACCAAATACCAACTGGTACTCCACGAGCTCATAGCCTTATATTCGGCAATTTTAGTCTCTTAAACACATTTGCAAGCTTATGTTGAATTTCTTGTTAAGTTTTCTTTGATTTTGTTAATTGTTCGGGGCTCAATTAGATTAAGGGAATAATCCTGATGCATTATCGGAAAATGTATACGGTTGACAAGACTTCAAAACTAAAATACTCAATGTCAGGTAAAAGGTATTCCCGACTTTTTCGGTGTTAATATATTTTAATACTCTTAGGTAACGTGCCAAACACTGTGCGCAGGCACTGCCTTGCATTTATAACACCAATCTGATTTAAAAACAATAAAATAAAAAGTCATTGCATTAAAAAATAATCTCACCAATAGCGTAGCATTCTATTTTAGTTGGTATCCCCACATCAGTTTTCTTTAAAATTGTTCTGGTAGTCGATGTCGACTTTATTAGACGATTCATAAGTTTATTTTAGAATTCAGTGAATCATAAGCTATAATTATAGCTTGTTGCATATCATTTATGGTTAAGCTTTTTGTAAATTATTGTACAATAGTTTATTGACATGACTGTATTTAGGCGATAGTATAATCATTTAACATTGTAAATTATAGTATTTAAGCACTGTATATTATTTTTATTAATCAATTATAAGATTTCATTGTACATATAACTTCCCATCTAAACTATTAGAGTATATCGAATTTAATGAGTATCGATAGAGACAACTCTACAGATTTCTTTTTTGACAGTTGAAATTCGCGCCATTTTATTAACTTATTTAAAAATGGAACATAATAAAATTTATCATCTCATTATCATTTATAATGGTCATGACAATACATAATAATTTATTTTAGTCAAAATACTCAATACATTCCAGTTTTTATTCAAGCCAAATAAGTTTTTTGTGTAGTAGAAATGTGTAATTTTATATTAATTCAATTAGGTGTTATTACAATATAATATTTGGTAATATTTATGCTATTTTTAACTGTGCAATAAGAGTGGAGAAAACGTTGTTCATTTCAATTTTTATAAGGCTTCGTTAATGTATCGTATAATAAGGTAACTATTAAAATTGTAATAAAATTGTAATTATTATAATAAAACAATTGGGATAGGCTTGTCACGCAATTATCTGTTATGTTTTTTTATATTTTTTTCTGGAAATTCGATAAGTACACCTACTTGTATATTTTTTAATCAAACGTGAAGAGAATGACGTTTAATTTGTCCGAATAAATAATTAAGAATTTTCAATATGTCTATTTTATTGATTAGACTGTCCGTTCCTTGTGGTGGCGAATTAAGAATACGGAGTGACACCACTCCCATTCATGCCGTGGTTGTCGTAAGAGCGACAAAGAGAGTAAACTACGCAGGATAACTGCTTAAGAAGGAAGGTAAACATGACACACATCCTATACCAACCTTATGCCAACGTGGTATAGTAGACCAAAACCTCTCTTCAAAGGCCTTTCTAGGCTTTCCTTGTCCAGCAGTGGACTATTATAGGCTGTTGATATGATGTTGTGTTGATGATTGATCTAATCCTTAATACATAGTCGATAATAGTACCTACTTCCTTCTTTTTGAAAGTTGATTAATAAGTTGCCATACCACGGTTATTGTAGTTCACGTTGAAATTGCTATGACAGAATAAAACCGATAAATTATATGGATTTTATCCACGTGTCTAGATACTGCTAATACTAAGTGGGAATAACTTAAAAGTATAACAAAGAGGCAACCTTTCATGGAATGTAAGGAACTCGAACAGGACCCGCTATCATTGTTGGACTTTCTGTAGCACAAAAGCCTATCCTTAAATTTTAAGTTGAATTCTAATTTAGACAGAAATAAGAACAGTAAAAATGATAGATAAAGAATTTTAACAAAATAATTGTCAAAATATAAAAAAAAAAATTTACAAACACAACTTTTTATATGAAATTAAGGGATCATCTTTAGAGTAAAACAGTGCAACTAGCGACATCTATTATTTGGTTTGGTAACCATGTTAAAAACTCTCTGTTGATACTTTCAAATTAGTTCAATAGAAAAATGGCGCCATCTATGAACGAAAATGTTAAATTTCAGTAAGATGATGCCTGACTACACAATATTAGACAGCAAGTATCATTCACTCATCTACATTCATCTATTTATTTTCTTTTGAACCAGGTATTTGGAAGATGCGTACTCTGGACATAGGCGAGGTAAGCTAAAAACTGAGCACTGCTATAATGCTTTGGACCTACTGCAAGTATATGCGGTATGGAACACTTAAATTCTTTAGAGTAGACCAATTCACAAAACAACGAGCTTAACTACTGTATCGCTTCCACTTACAGGCAGCTGTACCCCGTGTTCTCTCTATGCTTAATATCTCTATGGGTGATTTAAGCGTTCAAAGTAGCAGATAGCATATAACAAAGACCTAGAATATCCGCAGCAAATAAAACACATTTATAAATAATTAAAAAAATCTTTTTTATTTCCTTATTATTTATATGAACACACAGAGAAAAAATTAAATAATTATTTTTTAATTTTAACTAACTCCTTGAAGATTAAAAAGTGTAAATGTCAGAATCCACAGAGAACTTATTCACAATTTTTTTTATAACTCTCGTATCCCTATGGCAGTTTGTTATCACAATAAAAAACCACTGTCAGGGAAGCTGCATCACTAAAATAATTAAAAAAAAAATACTTTAAAGAACGACTCCTCCTCCACAGATACGCAAGAGGGAAGGAAGTTTTGTACCAAAAGGTAAAAAAGGACACAGAATTTTGATCATAAAGAGAGATATTGCACTTTAGAACTTATGAAATAAGTCCTTTAATTATTTGTACGCGTAGCGCAATTGACATGGGTCCTTAAGCGATAAATTGACCTGTTATTGCCGTTTTTACAAAACATGGTAGGTGTTTTTAAAAGAAACTGAACAGACAGAAAGGTAAGCCTTTTAATGTAAAGAAAATAGGATATAAAAAATTATTGATCTTTAGTGAGATTCGAAATATGATATATCACGAAGCTTATTTTCTCAAGTAGTATACACATAATATTACAGGTAAATAAGGTAATGATAAACGCTATAAATTAATAATATGAATAGAATTTATCTTCAACAAAAAATGTTTTATACATGGTAAAAAAGCATGTTTTAAAAGGAATAATCATAATGGATAAGACAAAAATGTCAAGCAACCAATTCTTAAGATTGATATGTCACAACAAATACTAAAAAAATAATTGTTTTTAATTTTTGTTAGTGAAATATGATATTCTCAATAATGTTATTAGAAATTAAGATTTGATACTACAATTATAATTTGATACTTAGAATATATCGGTACATACTTGTACTTACATACTTGTATAAAAATGTTAAACATGAATTGTAATAAAAAATATTGATAATTTTAATATAGTAAAACACAAAAAAACGAGTGAGCTTTACAGTCTTGCATATGATATGTAACATTTGCCACCTCATCTGACGTCATCTGTCATCTGACGGTCAAATGTCAAGTCTAGTAGGCTCAAATAGCGCACGCTTCGTCGGCTTCCTGTTACATTCTTCCGTCCCCTTTTATAAAATTATCTACATACATATATTTATATCAGTTGTCTGCTCTCGGGGAAGCCTTGACCCTAGAGAGCGCGTCCCCAAGGTGGCGGATAGGGGAGTGCTCGTCAGCAGCCATTGCGGTTGCCGAAGGGCAGGAGGGAAATAAAATACCTCCCGCGGACCATAAAGGCCGGAGAGAAAACTTCGTAAACAAACCCAACCAAGAAGCTCCGTCGACATATTCGACTCAAGAGGTCCCTGGTTGTGATGGGCGTTCAGGTCGGAGCGTTCATTAGAGCGGCAGCGGAAGAGCCCTTTATGGGTCAACGGTGGCGTTCAAGTTTTCCAGGAAGATTACGACCTTGGCGTCAGGTGGCAACCGGCCGTAAAACGAAAGCCGCTATATCATACCAATCATGAGGCAAAACTATAAGAATAAGACGATGAAGGCTAGGGCGTCCCCCTCAAGCGACGAAGAACATAGATCTGCGAAGGATATTAGGGCGTTCCCCCCAAGCGACGACAAACAACGGAGCATGGTGACTATGTCCGAGGTTCGCGTTGCCACCTGGAACATAGGCACAATGACTGGACGCAGTGCCGAACTTAGCAGCATCCTTGAACGACGTCGCATAAACATCTGTTGTGTGCAAGAAACAAAATGGAAGGGCGCCAAATCACGACAAATTGGAAAGGGGTACAAACTGATATATAATGGAAAAGAAAACACTAGAAACGGGGTGGGGATCATATTAGATCAGTATCTTAGTAGGAATGTAGTTGAAATAAATAGAATAAATGACCGTATCATCTCGATAAAGCTGGCTCTGGAAAAGCAACCATGCTTAAATATTATCTCAGTGTATGCACCACAAACCGGCTGCCCTGAAACAGAAAAACACGAATTCTGGGAGGAACTGTACACGCATATGAGATCAATTCCAGCATCAGAGCAGAAGCTTATATGTGGCGACTTGAATGGCCATGTGGGCGCAGATAAGCGTGGTTTCGAAGCACATCATGGCGGTTTCGGCTTTGGAAATCAAAATAACGAAGGAGCAACCATATTAGAGTTTGCTGCTGCGCAAAATTTGGCAATAGTAAATACATTTTTCAAAAAGAAAGACGAACACCTCATTACATACAAGAGTGGAACTGCAAAAACCCAAATAGATTATATCCTAACTGATAAACGGGACCTGAAACAAATAAAGGATTGTAAAGTAATTCCAGGAGAACCTCTAACATCACAGCACAGACTTTTGCTGGCGGCCATGAAACTTAAAATGCCAATCAAGCAACATAAAACTAAAGTGACAAAAATCAAATGGTGCAATCTTTCCTCTGATAAAGGAAACGACCTTATACACAAAATCAGGAATTACTTCTGCGAAAACCGCCTTCAGAATGACTCCTCAAATATTACATGGGCTAAATTTGAAGATTTCTGCCTTGCAAGCGCTAGATGTGCTTTAGGAATCAGCAAAGGACCTCTGGGCAATAACAAAAACATTAAATGGTGGAACAACCTTACCAAAGAATCTGTAGCCGAAAAGAAACGCCTGTTCAAAGTTTGGCAAGAAACACGCTCGGATGAAGACAAGGAAAAATATAAAGTGGCAAAGAAAGCAGCCCGAAGGACGGTAGCTATTGAAAGAGATAAGGCTGAACAGGACCTGTATGCTCGCCTAGAATTAGCAACGGACAATGAAATATACAAAATCGCGAAACACAGAGATACCAATACAAAAGATTTCGTAACCACTAAATATATCAAAAATTCAGAGGGTGTACTTCTCACAGCGGATAAGGACATATGTGATAGATGGCTTGAATACTACAACAAACTATTTAACGAGGAATTCCCACGCCAGCCCGAAACCGAAGAACTAATAACTCGAGGACCAGTAAATGAAATTACACCAATGGAAGTTAAGAAGGCTATAACTAAAATGAAAAACCGAAAAGCATGCGGCCCGGACGAAATACCGGCTGAACTTTGGAAGGCACTAAAAGCGGATGGAGAGGTATGGCTTGCAAACTTGTTTAATAACATCTTATCAAGTGAAAAAATGCCAGATTCCTGGAGAAAAAGTATCCTTGTGCCATTCTATAAAAATAAAGGCGACGTCCGCGATTGTGGAAATTATCGCGGAATCAAACTAACATCACATACCCTTAAGATCTGGGAGAGAGTCCTGAGTGAGCGCCTTAAAAATCATATCATGCTAACGGAAAATCAGTTCGGATTCACTGCTGGAAAGGGAACAACCGATGCAATACATGCTATCAGAATAGTTATGGAGAAGGCCCGAGTAAATAGACAGAATCTATGGCTGGTGTTTATTGACCTGGAAAAGGCGTTTGATCGAGTACCGAGGACGTTAATATGGCAGGCTTTGAGGGCACATAAAGTCCCCGAATACTACATTCAACTTATTAAGGACATGTACAACAATGTCGAAACGTATGTCAGAACACCAGCGGGATTATCCAAAGATTTCAATATTACAGTGGGTGTCCATCAAGGCAGTGCTCTGAGTCCCCTGCTTTTTAACACCGTCATAAACTATCTTACTGCAAAAATTCAGCAACCAATTCCGTGGAATCTTTTGTACGCCGATGATGTGGCTCTAATATCCGATGACCTTCAAGAAATCCAGAAATGTTTAGAGCAGTGGAGAATGTCTCTAGAACAGAATGGGCTACGCATTAGTAGAACAAAAACAGAATATATGTTCTGTAATTTTAACCCAAATGCAACCATCAGTGCCGATATCAAGATTGATAACACAACCCTGCCCAGAGTAAAAACCTTCAAGTACCTAGGATCAGTACTTTCAGAAGATGGATCTATTGAAGCGGATATATCGCACAGAATAATGTCGGGCTGGACTAAGTGGCGCACGCTGACTGGAGTTTTATGTGATAGGAAAATGCCTATAAAAACTAAAGGTAAGGTCTACAAGACAGCTGTTAGACCGGCACTCCTGTATGGCAGTGAAGCCTGGGCAATGAAAAAGACTCATGAACAGAAACTACACACAACAGAAATGCGTATGCTGAGATGGGCAGGAGGAGTCACACTGAAAGATAAGGTCCGAAATGAGTATGTGAGAGGTAGCTTTAAGGTTGCACAAATAGCAGACAAGGTAAAAGAGTCCAGACTAAGATGGTACGGTCACGTGCTTAGAAGACCGGAAGACCATGTCGTGAAGAAGTGTCTTTCCATGGCTGAAAAGAAGAAGGGGAGAGGAAGACCCCAAACCACATGGCAGACGAATGTCCTTAAGGATATGAAGGAGATAGGCCTTAGGGAAGAGGATGCGGAAAACCGAAGCAAATGGCGCCGCGTGATTGGGAAAGCCGACCCCGTGTAACGGGACAAGGCGAGGCCAAAGAAAGAAAGTCTAGTACCCATAGCAAAAGTCTAGACTGCTTAATTATGGACTAAATGACGTTGTGTGAATGTGGTAGAATATTGTTATTATTATATTATAAAATCACGCCACCAAATTGCTGGAATGCGAGAGCAATGTTACACATTAAAAACAGTCTGCTATATTAGACTAAAACGAATATTTGTAAATAGTCCAAATGTGATCATATAAATTAAAAGTAATGTAATCTATATATTTGGACGTAAGAATGGACGGATAGTTACTTATTTAATTATAGCTAAAGTAAGCTATACTGTAGTGCAGTTTATTTAGTCAATACTACCCCTAAATAATCTAACTTATACTAATTGTATTTAAAGAACTACTCTATGAAGGCACTACTTAATTACTTTTAGTATAGTCGTGACAAATACATTTCTCTAGGCAAAAGCATTTTTGAAGTGAAAACTTATTTAGACACGTTGGGCATTTTTGAACAACAAACAAAATAATGTATTTAATGGTTTAACAAAAAAAAACGTATTTTTTGAGATGGGAAAAAAACCATTAAACTTGCGACACTAGCCGTTATCAACACCTCTGTTGAAGTGAAAACTTCTTTAAGGGCGTTAAAAAATTTTTTGAGATGGGAAAAAAACAATTGAACTCGCGACACAGTTACCGTTACCGTCACCGACACCTCTGTATTTAAGTTTTCACTTCTGTCAGCACTCCCGGAGTGCCAATGTTTTTCTTATGGTGTAGTGTGCTAACAAGCAGCTGAGTCACCAAAGAAAGAATCGGTTTTCTATGAGGCCGTGGGAGAGCATGCTTCGGCACGAATGGGCCGGCTCGACCGGTGTGATACCACCATACAGAAAACAGGTGTTAAGCATTTCTTTCGTTGCCTTTCACTGAGTGAGTGAGGTTACCGGAGCCTAAATCCCCCCTTCCGCTGACTCGAGCGGGAGGGACTCCAAGGGCAGCAACGCACTTGTGACTTTTGAGTTGCAGGTGTTCATGGGCGGCGGTAGTTGCTTACTATCAGGTGACCCGTCTGCTCGTTTGCCCCCTTATACCATAAAAAAATGGTCATGGTAGTACTACGTTACTTACGTTACGTACTACCGGTCACAACGTTCGATGCCGATCTATTTAATAATTTATTTTTCACACAGTAAAATGCCATCCTATGTAAAAATGTGAAAAACTGTACAATTAAAGTTAATAAAAATTTATAATATAAAACATACCAGCAGTAATGGACCATATCCAACATTCATAAACTGCCTCTGTACCATGAGACTCTTGCAGATAGTTCAACTATCGCAATATTTAACTCCATACACTTGCACAGTAGTACAACAGTCTTTACAATATTTGAATTACTAAATACTTGAACTATTTACATCTAATATGAAAATCATCTAATTTTACAATTAGATAAACCTTACAGCTGCTCTCATTGTCTCATTTCTTTAATTTTACCTTAAAAAGACATGGTATGTCTTTATTCTTACTATATTAAATTCAAATACCTGTGCATTCCTTGATACAAAATACTTCATAGTAATTTTAGCTTTACTTTCAAGGTGATAGGCGTCAAAATCGGAACGATACTACTTTGCGTTTGAGTTTTTTTTTTAAATCCTAAGTATAACCACTATGTATCTTACAAGTTCTTTAAAATATTCAGTATTCCATTAATATTTCTATGTTTGGTGACTGCATCTCCAGTATTATCTGGTACTGTGAGAACACGCAGAGCCAGCAATGTATCTGAAAACAAAATGGCTACTTAAAAATAATGATCTATTTTGTATCAACCAAATGGCTTGATAAATGAAAACCAGCTGATGGTAAAGCAAAACAAAGAGAAAGAAAGAAATGACTGCAGGGTGTAGTAGTTTATTTCTTCTATAAAAGACATTAGTTTGTATATCATTGAGGGAGTATACACACAATTATGCACATAAAAAGAGTCTATGTAGTACATCATAGAGCACTAGTCTCAATTAATTAGAGATCTCTAAGTAAACACTTTTTGTGCCTGCCTATGTTCTTATGACTGAGGTTCCAGTAAGAAAATTGACCAAAAGACATCCACTGCTGGACATAGACCTTCCCCAAAGTTCTCCATGCTTGCAGTTTCCATAGGGGGGTTTCGCTTAACACTTACATCACATTTATTTACTTAAAAAAGCTTTAGCATATATTATATTATCTTCATATATATTTCAATGTTAAGTTGGTTTTTGTATACTTCAAAAACTCGATAGATTTACACAATTCCAAGATTGTTTTTACATATTTTTCGTGTCAGTTTTGTTCCTGATTTGTCATCAATGTAACCACAATGTGCCACAGCGAAGCGTGACAGGGTACAGCCAGTATTAATCATTGAAAAAGGATAAAATAGTAACTATTATAACAAGACATATTAGAGGTATTGGATTTGGTAGCATTTGCAGAGCTTACCAGATCTAATATGTGGTTTAATATAATAATAAATTTAATATAGCATTCAGTAGGTTCATACTTTTGAATACATTTTTATTTATCCCTATTACTTTATAGAGACCTGTCAATTAATAGGTTTGTGACGTAATCAAATACAATGGAGTGAGGTGTTTTAAGGGATTAAAGAAGGTACTTAATTTTTACTCTTTCCAATTCAATTTCATTTCATAGAATAAAGCAATGCTTTGAAGCAATCAATAAGGGTAGCTATTTTTATTGAGTAGTTCCGTGAATTTGCCAATAGCACTGTTGGTGATAGTTTGTAACTATTAATTTAGTAATTAGGTAAAAAAAACTGTTTGAGTAACTGAGTTGACCATTTTAAATCCATATTTAGTAAGTATTACTTACATTGTACGCCATCCATAACAGGTCTATAAAGGCAGCAAATGTTGCATCCAACTGTAAAAGTACATAATTATAAAAGTTATTTTATACATTAGCAGAACAAATTTTTATCAACGGGTTTTTTCTTGAATTACATGCTATGTTTGAAATAAAAAGACATACTAATCAGAGTATTTCGTTAAACACATAAAGCTTTATATGTACTTGTACGTGACAATAATATATGAACTGTTTTAGGTATTTTATATGTATTTCACAATAATATTATAAAGTCGAAAGTTTGTGAGTGTGTGTATGTATGTTTGTTACTTCTTCACACTGAAACGGCTCAAATTTTTATAAAATTTGGTATGGAGGTAGCTGACACCCTGGATTAACACATAGGATTTTTATCCTGACAAACTTAATGTTTCCATGGGAAGAGCATGTTGTAGTGTATCTGACAATCTGCAGGGTTACACCGTTAGGCACAGCTAGTATAAAATAAGCTAGTATAAAAAGATTTTTTGTTTTATGCATCAAGTAGATATTTGCAACTCTAATCAAAATGATGTTGGGCCTCTCTGAGTGCTTAATTAATAAAGAAATTCTCTTTTTTACATAGTTACGATTGATCGTTTTTGTTTTAAAATATAGACTCAATTTGCTATCACATTGCTTGGATGTAACATCTAATATTTATGTACCTATAAAAGTACTCACATAAATGTAGTATCCTCCAAAGAGCCACAATCCAAAGATCAGTTGGAAAATAATAATGAGACCCATCAACACCAGCCATGGGAGTATGAATCCTCTCATCCAGATATTTATACCAACTACCTGAAAATAGATTAAAAATACATTTTGTATTGTGGAGTTATAAGCAAAGCATCATCTAATTGGAGCCACATCTGAACAAGATATAACCATGCCTAATCTAATACCATGATCTTCATGGGTAGGGAGTTGTTCACTGATTACAGTACTAGTAACATATTGCCATAGCATATCACCAGATTATATGTACCGGTGAATCAATAAATAGGACTGATTTCTTAATGGTGATGAATTAAGAATATGGAGTGTCACAATCCCTATTCATCCCGTGGGTGTTGTAAACCCAGACTACGGGAGCTAACTACACAGGACAACAGCACTGCAAAGAGAAGGAAAACTTGACACAAACTCTATACCAACCCGTCTAGATATCACGGTATAGTAGGCCAAAACATCCTTTCTAAAAAAGGGCTAATGTCCTGAGTTGCAGACGTTAATGAGCGGCGATGGTCACTTTCCATCAGGTGACCCGTCTGCTCGTCTGCCTTAACATAAAAAAAAAGTTACTACTCAAGCCTATGATAGTGATGATGGATTATTTAATACTGAACACTACTAGTTCTTGCATATTAATAACATATTTCTGTGTGTTCATTAAACAAGTAGTTGAAGGTTCTCAAATATTTAAAATGCCGTGTCGTCTTTACTGATCATTTTAAAATGACTTAACTGAAAATTGATTACTTGAAAGTGTATGAGGAAAGAAATCTCCTGATTATAAGTAGAAAAAAGTCCGTGTGGTGACAGATTAAGAATACGGAATGTCACCACCCCTATTCATCCCGTGGGTGTCGTAAGAGCCGACTAAGGGAGCAAACTATGCAGGACAACAGCACTGCAAAGAGAAGGAATACTTGAAACAAACAATATATCAACTTGTCTGCCTAGAGGCCTATGTCCAGCTGTGGACTGTTATAGGCTGTTGATGATAAGTAGCAAATCGATAAATGATATGTGTGACTTGTTGAACAAACTTTTCATCTATACATCTTTAAAGACTGTTTTGCACATCCCATCAGCGGTTTAAGCAGCCGCTGCCTACTGTTTGTGGGTTCGATACCCCTTTGTGTGATCCATAAATTATTGTTCTAAGTTAGGGTGTTTTTTGTTTCCGTTTCATGTATGTTTGTAAACATGACACAGGATGCATATTCCTAATGCTTTTTTTTAAAAAGAAAAAGAAACAATTCTCAATCAAAACATTTGGAAATCTGTAGATTGGGTACCTTTCAGTTAAATGGTATGTACAGAAAACCTAAATAAATCTTTATGGTTATGGAGCTGGACGATGGAAACTAGTACATTATCTTAATTTAATCATAATTTTGGTTTATGGTTGGTTTCATTGAAGCTTTTCTTACTTCGGACTATGAGAGAAATAAAATGATATTGGGAGTTTGAGGAATAAATGTATAATGTTCACATGTCTGTGAACAACCAAATGATCTAAATATATTTAACTCGAATTTAATATTTTTATTAAACTAGGATCCGAGTAAATAAAGCCTATTTTTATCATATTTAAATTTTACTTTTATTTTCAAATTTAACCCGAATGTATACGAATTTAAACTTACCATTAGCACGGAGAAAATAATCATCAGTATGAATATAACAATAAATATGACTCCAAAGATTTGGAGAGCTGAAATAGAGAAATGTGATACTATATTATTTATACATTTAATCTATTGTTTTTGTGTTTATTCTTCATCACCATCATCATCAGCCTATCATAGTCTACTGCTGGACATATACCTCTCCACAGGCCAGGCCACTTAGATTTATTTTCGGCTTCTTGCATCCAGCTCCTACCACGCATCTTACGTAGATTGTCACACGAGCTCCACTCAAGAACTCGTTTACCCCAATGGTTGTTGATTCTGCAGCTAATATGGCCAGCCCACTGCCACTTTAGCACTGTTCACTAAACATCTTATATTGACAACCATACATGTATATGAAGAATATTCAAAGATTATAGAGATGACTCAAAGATCAAAGATATTACACCTAAATATGTATGAAGATGAAGAGTTTTAAAAAATAATTAATGTTAAATAGAACTTTTATTTCACAAATCCAAAATAATCTTTGTAACTTCAAAAAGATTATTTTGTATTTGTGAAATAAAAGTTCTTGACAAGAAATCACTACATCTTGGAACTTACCATTACCATTTTTGAATACATAGTATCAACTATTTTTTCTTTAACAATAAAGTAACTAACTCTATTCACACAGATAAATAACACATGTATTTCACTTTAGAGTGCTATTTATTAGTAATTATTTTACTTATTACCTAAATAAATAGGTATTATTATTATTACTTTATTGGTTGACTACGGCAGTCTTATTTATAACAATCAATGGGTACTTACATCCTCTCACGTCAGCCTCAAACAAGGGGTTCCATAACTGAGTAGAGTCACCGCCATTCATTTGATACACAATGAACGTTATAAGAATCAAGCTCATGGCAGCTGTGTATACGGCAACTGCCCGACTTCCAACCTTCGTGTTTGATGACCAAATGCATGGAGACCAACAAGATTCCAATACCGGTGCCATATTGTCAATAGATTTTTCTTTTCTAGTTGTTTTAAAGTACAACACAACAAAAGTAATGGGAATTGCCACACCCAAGTACAGTTAGAAAGTTATTTTTCCAACGTAAAACTAAAACTTGTTCAATGAGTATAAATACAGACAGAGGTTTTAATAACACTTATTTTATGTAACATATAATTTGTGTTCATAATTTTCCTAGTTTTAATTTAAAACAATAACGTTCAAACTTAGTAACAACTAACAAGTTTTGTTGACGCTAAACTGACAAATTGCAAATTTTTCTACCACTGATCACTGAACCTTTAGCATTATGACTATTTCTTCCTCTTTCTATCTACTGTGTGAGTAAAATATGATGGTAGCCCAACTGTGAAATGGCAAAGATACACCTCTCGGAAGAGTTGAAACGTTCCAAAGCTTCCAAAGACTTCTTGACAGATTAAAAATATCACGAGCAATGTTAGCATATAGAAAAAATAAAACTTTTGAAGACACTATAAAAAATTATGATAAAATAAATTCGTTGGAGGTTATTGACTTGACTAAGGGTTGTACTAGGCGTTGTTCACACTGTTCCCGGATCCCTCCTATTACAGGCGTAGAGTGGCACACCGTGTGGTTTTAGTCGGTCCGAGTCCGACACACCACCCAGCCGCAAACCCCGGTGGGGTGACGGTCCGAGGGGATTTCCACACGTAAAAAAAAAAAAGGCGTTGTTCACACTGGGTGCATTCGATTGAGACCTTAAATAATACGCGACGAAGTTTTAAATCATACAGCCTACTTTTATTAGTGAAGTTTTTTTTTTTGTGTGTAATTTGTTTTGTGTGTATATATTCCATGGTTTCCATGTTTGCGACATTCTCAAATACCCTTTGGTTTGTGTTGAACATGTAAAACGCACTACTCCTAATCAAAATCACTTTTATAATAGACGTTTATGTTAATTACCTTACTAAAGTTCTAAATTAATGTTTGTTCTTTTCCTAAAATTTAAAATTGTGCTATGTACACATGTTATAATTTGGACATAAAAGTGAACGAGACTTTGTTCATTTGTCAAGCTACATTTGTAAAAATTTTGCTTTAGAGGAAAGGACAGGATTTGGCGTGCAATATTTATCTAAGTGTAACAAGTTTGATTAAAATTTAAGCTTGTTTTAAATTAACACATAAAAAAAATTAAGCCATATATTATTTTTCATTAGTTATTATTTTTGATTTTATTATTAGTACTTAGTTTAGTATTTTTAATTTATGCATTTGAGAAAAAGAGATAAACAAATTATACTATACAGCTACTTTTAAATATATATAGAACCCCCGATGGGCAAGTAAGACTCACTAGGTCGGTCTGACTAACATTTAATTGTTTATTTAAGAAATAAAAAGTTGGAACGGGGTTATTCTAACTAAAATTAAAGAAATTTAGGTTTAGTGTTTTCTCCGTAATAGAAACCTGCCCATGGCAAAAATAGGCGTTTTTGTTTACCTTTTCAATAAGCAAAACATACATCCGCAGAAAAAGTAAATAATTATAGTAAGATTATTATTGCATCTTAACTCAACATTGATTTTGTATCATCAAACAAATCGACAAAAGCGGATAAAATAGACACTCATAATGGAAAGTTTAAATATTATGGCTATGGCCAGTGGCGGATTAATCCTAAGGCAAAGTAGGGACGTGCCTAGGAGTGCGAGGTCAAAAAATATAAAAATTGTAGGAAAAGACCAGGGTTGTCCAGTTAATGGCACAATATGGTGCACCGCTGTGGGCGTAAAATTGTAGTAAAGAACTATAATATGGTGTTATCACTATCACACATTTAGTAACGTCATATAGTAGGTATTAATAATATAGTGTGGGTAATAGGGTAAAAATAGATCCGGGGGCGCCGATGAGATACTTACCTAGGGCGCTCTTCATACTTAATCCGCCTCTGCCTATGGCTACATCTATTAGTAATAAAACACAAGACGATTTCTTTGTTTCTTTTAAAAGACAAACACAGTCTACTATCGTTTTAAAGAATAATATGTAATAACTTTACTCATCTCACACACTTCTTGAACTATACTACGGGTATATCTACGGGTGCCTGATCCCAAAATAGGCAGAGCCGTACTATGGTAACTAGACTGCAGTACTTAAATATTATTTCTAAATACTAAGAAAAAAGAACAGATCGTACTCCTTCCTAAAAGGCCTGCAACGCGTTTGTGACTTGTGAGTTGCAGACGTTCATGGGCGGCGATGGTCACTTTCCATCAGGTGACCCGTCTGCTCTTCTGCCCCTTCTAATATAAAAAAATACATAAATTACACCCAGAGACAGAACAAATGATAGTGTTTATCATACAATTCTTTGTGCCACCCGGAACCCACGACCTTCGGCTTAGCAGGCAGAGTCGCTACCTAATAAACCAACAGGCCCATCGAGTATCATTTAGTTGATCACTTTTTTTCAAATAACAATAAACTTTCTTGTCCTTGAACTATTATCTACTGATGATAACGCTAATGCCGGCATTATCCTTAAAAGTGTCTTCAGGTAATCATCACACAAGGTGTAGGTACAATTATCTTGTAATAAACATAAACATCCATATTAATATTATAAATGTCTCTATCTGTTTGTTACCTCTTCACGCTTAAACCCCTGATCCGATTTAGATCAAATTTGGTATAGAGATAGTTTGAGTGCCGGGAAAGGACATAGGATAATTTTTATCCCAGAAACCATCCTTTCAAGGGGGTGAAAAGTTTGTATGGGGAGGCAATAACCGCTGGACCGATTCAGATGAAATTTGATATGGAGAGAGTTTGATTCTTGGGAAAGGACATAGGCTTTTTACCGCGATAACCCACATATACGCGGGCGGAGCAACGGAGAAGAGCTAGTATCTCATATATGTATCAAAATGTCCATCAAGTTGCTTTATTCATCAAATAAATCAGTATTGTATTGGTTCCTCGGTCGGTTGTAATCTGTAAAAATAAAACAAGCATTTCAAAAACAATGACCACGCAACATCTCGCTGCTTTCTGAGAAGCGAAGCGCCGTTACAAGTTTCGGTAAAGTTGTGGTGCGGGTGCGAGAAGAAGCGTTTTAACAACAACTAATATATTTATTACTAAGGAAGACTAAGGTCATTAGTAAAATAATATTGATTGGTCTCGCTTTTTTTGTTATGTGCTTACCGCAATATGTATAAAAAGGTAATAAACAAAATACCAATATTCCAACATCGTCATATAAACTTCACATCTATTCTTGCATTTGTCTATACTACAATACGGGTATAACAAATAAGAGAGTTTTTTGTTTGATTGTTTGTTTATTTATACGTGTTAATATCTGAAATTGATGGATTTCATTAATTCCTGTGGTACTAAATAGAGTACTAATTAATGGAACACCACACTACTTTTCTTTTACATCTATTGCATCCATTTAAAAATAACCTAACAAGTAAGTAAGAAGATTAAAAACCAAATAAAGTTAGGCAAATAATAAATCAAAATAGCAGTTCGGCTCTGGCACTTGCACTTGTCGGATGAATATTGACCATTCTGCGAACTGAATATTCTGCGAATTAAAAATTCTGTGCCTAAACCCATTTTACATCTCTAGACAATGGTTAATTAGATTTTTCTGTTTTAAGTTCTTTAGTTAATAAAAGCTATTGCATTAAAATATAAACGCTATAAACGTTAACACTGAAGCATGTCATAAAAATGTACATGCGATCGATATTCCTACTTCATATCTCATATGGCGGTATGTACCATTTTATTTAAGTACTGTTTCTTTTCAAAATTATTGATCATAATCGTTAGTTTGTAAGGTATATATTCAAAATCTTAACGGCATGGTAAACCTCTAGACGAGTTATATTGAAACGCTTTGTGAATATAATCCTAATAAAGATATAGAATTCAAAAAACGTAATTTAAAAATTTATTACGTACTTTATGCCGGGGCCTAGTTAGGTGAGGCGGCGATGCGGGGAGGACCTGAAATCACATGTTCTGGGTTCTCCACAGTGTAGGGTGTCTAAGGTCGGCCTTCAGGATGGTTTTTAGTGGAAACAGCATTTAATAATCCTAGCTCCTGCATTTTCTAAATTTAAATAAAATAAATGGTAAGCACTTACCTAAAAAAAAACTCAAATCAAAAAGTTTTCATTTCATATGTTTTAATACTTAAATAAAACTTTTTTACCATGCAGGTGGTAACATACTTGATATTACCCGCCTGCTGTTAAACCTACTGTTTGTCTGTCTATAAACGCTTGGAACTTTAGACAAGTCCCTTTAAAAACCTGATAAGAATTTAATGTTAGTTCATGAAGTTAGCTACTTCATCTTATAAATGCCCGGAAGTTAATTGAACTTGTATAGAGGAACCCTATATTGGAACATAGCGGGTCCTGTCGACATGGCCAAGTGGCCGGTGAGTTATTGCTTTCTGTTTAAAGAGACCGGTTGTGGTTCCTCCAAAATTATTTCAGTTTTCCTCCTTTATCGAGTTTTATATAAATATGTTGGAAACGATCATAGGATTTGGTCAAAATTAAGTTTTTCAGATCCCAGAAATATTCCATTATTATTAATTATTATATGCGGCCCATCGAATATGCGGCCCTCCCGTACTAGGAATATGGATATATTCCTAGTACGGGAGTTTGTTGTTGTTGTTTGAGTTTGTGTCGCGAGGGACTTTAGAAACATACACGAAACGGATACAAAGGACACCTAGACTCAGAACAAGAATTTGTGAATCACACAAAGTGGCGTCCCATTTGGGGATCGGACCCACAACACTCAGCATAGTAAGCGGCGTGGCGACCGCTTAAACCACTACGCCATTAGTGCAGTTGTGGATCGGTACAGGCATGCAATAGATTTTTAATATACAATATTTCGCTAAATATTTGGCAACAGCTTGTTGCTACAGTGTGTGTTGATCTATGACCTTAGAGTCATTACTCCC